GGAAGCAGTGCCTTGGCTTTAGGGTTGGTTCTGGGTTTGGTTTTCAGAGGTTGGCTGCGTAGGTGCGTGAAGCTTTTGAGTGTGCGCCGTAGGAGTAGGCTGAGGTTTGTGCGTGTAACTGTGGTAGGACGTGTGCCACGTAGGTCTTGGAGTGTTGTGCGCCGCCTGTTGTTTTTGCGTGGCGTGCTTGCTTGTGAGTTGAAAGCTGAGCCTACGGGCGAGGAAGCAAAAGGGCCAATGATGAAATGTTGGCGTGCCTTATGCAGTGGGCCTCGTGTGGGCTTGGGTCCCTGCGGGGGTCCGAGCAAAAGAAGGCCGTGGCACGTTCTGAGGCCCTGCGTATGCTTGCTGGTTTGCCGACCCCGGTTGTTGTGAATTCGGAGTCGGAGGAAGAGTTGATTCCTGATCCGTTGGAAGCTGAACTTGCGAAACCCAGCGGAAGTGAACCCCCTAGGCCCTCCGATGTTCGAAAGAAACCCCGTGTGGAGAATGTTCCCTCAGGTGAACCGGGTGCCCTGAGTTCCCCGGAGGTGGTGAGCGATGCTCTGGATCCTGAGGTTCCGGTCTATTTGACCTCGGAGCGGCTGAAGGCGCACCGAAATAAGGGCCACCAACCTTATCTTAGTTGCTGTGACACATGTCAAAGCGCTAGAGGGAGAGTGCCGGCTCGTAGGAAGCACATGAAACACCACCACGGACCCGGAGAGTTGCAAGTCGACTTTGGATTTTTCGGAAAGAATGTTCGTTTCCTTCTCATGGTTCATGTGGTGTCGGGGTACATACATACCGTGGTCTTAGGACCTGAGGATGAAGTGCCCGCTGTATCGGTTTGCAAAGCCTTTACGGAAATGGGATTGAGTGGATTGGACATTGTTGTCCACGGGGACCAAGAAAATCTCCTCGAGAGTGTTTTCCGCAATGCAGCGAAACACCGGACATTCGGGGGGAGGTCAATGCACTGGGTCCCGTTCGCGATAAACAGACCTCAAGCGAAGGGCATCGTTGAACGCCATGTTTGCCTTGTGAAAGAAGCGTTCTGGTCTGTTTGGCTGGGCTTAGAAGAGCGTGTAGGTGAAAAGTTGCCTCTAGGGAGCCGTCTGTTTGTTGAGGCCATGAGGTACTCTGTGAGGATGCATAACTTGTTTCATGTGTCCAAGGAACACAGCACGCCGTTGGAGAGACTGCGTGGGTCGACAGTTCAGCCAGTGAAGAGCTGTGAGTTTGGGGTTGTGGGTTTTGGGAAGCCTCAGAAGGACTACCCAGAGCACCGCGGAAAGCGCTTGGTGAGGGCACTCTATGTAGGACCTCACGGTGCTAATGGATCCAAAATTCGGGTCTTTGTTCCAATAGGTATTGGAAAGCCCCCTCGTTTGGAAATCTTCAGCTCTTTTCGTGCCAAAGATCCAGTGGAGTTTGACAAAGCTGCTTTGCGTGACCTTCGAGGTAATAAGGAAGACCCTGAAAGACCCATCAAGTTCGATGTTCCAATCGATGGTCCGAGTCCGCCGCTTGATTCCCCAAATATCCCTGAAGGAAGTCTTGAGTTTCCTGTTGAACGCACCGAACCACCTGCTCTTGAGGGCCCTGAAGCAATGGAAGAAGAAGGAGAGTTGGATGGGTATTCTCCGGATTTTTCGGACGTGCCTGAAGAAACAGGCATGGAGGTTGAGCCTCCCGGAGGCGTAGGTCTTGAGGACCTCGACGCCCCTATGGATCCAGGAGAAGACGATGCCATGGAAGAGGGCCTGACGTGGCTCTATGAGCATGGCCTTAGGCAACTCTTTGATGGGCCTGACTTGAGAGTAACGACAAAAATCCGTAAGGGAGATAATGTCAAAGAGTGGTTCCGTATGAAGTTTGGTGGAAAGAAGATTTGGGTCCATGTCCCGGACAATGCGGTTTGCGAAGTTTCTGGCAAGGTTTTGCCTCGTAAGCATCTTGAAGAAGGTATGAGACTCGAGCTCTCAGAACTTGATGCTTTTGGTGTAGCTACGATTATAGGAGAAGCTGAGGCCCGTAAACGAGCTACGCGGAGAATCCATACGACTAGGTGGGTTCTGACTTCGAAACCGTCGGCCACGAACCCTGAACGAGTTCGTGCTCGTCTTGTTGTGAGAGACTATGCATTTGGATCCAATCCTCTAGCTGATGGGATATATTCCCCCACCACGTCTTTGGAAGCCTTGAGGGGTGTCCTTGCTATTCATGCTGTCAGAGGTGGCACCTTGTTGTCAGCAGATGTGAGCGTTGCCTTCATGCAAGCGCCTGTGCAGGGAGTAGAGTGTATCCGGTTTCCGAATGGGATGTATGATGAGGAGAACAAGCCGCTGTTTGCGCAGCTACACAAAGCCATGAATGGCTTGAGAGTAGGACCACTGAGCTGGTACCTAGAGTTTACAAGCACGCTGCGTAAGCAGTTTGGGTTTGGTGAGACTGCCGACCCTACTGTGCATCACCGGCTTGAGAAGGATGGTGCGCTGACCTTGGTGTTAGTGTATGTTGACGATCTCATCATCTTTTCCCAGAATCCGCCAGTTGCCAAGGATCTGTACGCTAAGCTAGCGAAGATCTATAAAATGAAGCAGACAGGGCTTCTAGAACCTGGCAAGACTGGGCAGCTCGAGTTCTTGGGTCGAGTGATCGCCCGAACCACTGAGCACGGGCCTGTGTTCTTTGGCCTGAAGCCGGGGTACTTGAAGTCGCTTGGAGAAGAGTTTGGCATTAGCGGAAAAGGTGTGAAACCAGTGCTGGGAAACCTCGAGAGGGAGTACCGGAAGAAGGAGGCTGGAACACCTATCAGCACTGAGGCGTATGAACGCTATAGACGTGTGCTTGGTAAGTTGATGTGGGCAAGCCTGACGTTGCCGCATTTGTCCTACCCGGTAGGATTTCTGGGCCGGTATCAGAGTGACCCAGATAGCCAGGCAGAAGCTTGCTTGAGACGCGTGGTTCGCTGGGTGATGGCTTTGCCTGAGTACCTTCAGCGATTTTCGGCAGAAGCGTTTGAGTATCCTTGCTGCGCTTCGGAAACCATGCTCTCTGGCTTTGTGGATGCGTCATGGAACATTTGCTCTGTGTCTGGTGCTATCGTGAAGTGGCATGGCATCATGATCAAAACTTTCTCGCGGAAACAGTCGGTGACCGCGTTGAGTTCGGCGGAGGCCGAATTGGCAGCCCTGACTGAGGCAGCCAAAGAGTCGGTGTACTTGTCTTTGCTCATGGAAACGCTCCTGTATGGAATGCCCAAAGGAGAGACCGGTGAGTTTCCGATTCACCTGGCTTCGGATTCGGAAGCCGCTTTGTCGATTAGCAAAATGACGGGGTTGTTACGCCGTGTTCGGCACCTGGAGCTTCGTCATCGCTATCTTCAAGAGCTAGTCCACCTGGAAAGGCTGATTCTAAGCTTCATCAGTGGAGAACGGAATCCAGCCGATGGACTGACGAAATCTCCTGAGGAGTTGTTGCTTGAGCATTTGCTGGTTGCGTGTGGACTGGAAAGAGTGTGTGAAGAAGACCTTCAGGGTCTTGTAGTTCCTGAACACCTTCGTGAACGAATGGAAGAACTTGAAGAAGTATGTGAAAAGCTTGAGAAAATCCCGACAAACCTGGCGAAGTACGAGCCAGTGGCAAGAGACCTTGCGTTGGGATCTGTTCCTCTGCTTGTGATCGAGGTGTTTTGTTCAACGGACAGTGCGTTGTGCCGAGCGTGTGCTCGTGACCGAGTAGCATATATAGGCATAACTGAGAAAGAAGACTTCTTAAGCAAGAGTACTCAAATGTTTCTAGGAGAGGTCTTGCTGTGTCTGTTGAGTAGGAAACCGCCCCAGATCTATGTCCACATAGCTTCCCCGTGTACCGCTGGATGTAGCTACCGCTTTAAGAACTGGCATCGACCGAAGTTTCGACATCGGTGGCGAGAGCAGGTCAAGAAGCATGTTGCATCTTGGAAAGCTTTAGGAAGACTTCTGGAGGACCGCTGCAAAGAGATCCTGGTTACCCAGGAATGGCCAAAGAACTGTGGTCTTTGGAAGGAGGAAAGTTATCTGAAAGAAAAGAAGCGCCTTGGTCTGAACTTTGGAAGGGTTGTGGACCGTTGTGCCTTCGACGGGGTCTTTAAGCGGTGGTTCTTTGCTACAAACCGAGAGGAGTGGAGTGAAATCTTCTCTGGAAAGCCCTGTGACAAAAGTCATCAGCATGTTTCACTTGCTAGTGTCGAAGAAACAGGTATCTATCCGACTAAACTGGGTAGAGCTCTTTTGCGTGCTGCGAAAGTCACGTTAGGTCTTGTAGGAACACCTTCTTAGGTCGGCAGTAGGAGTGCTCGCTTTCGGACTTTGCCTGGGATGAGATGTTTAAGCACTGGAAACACCGAGCTGTGAAGAAGTGCGTGGCTCTGAGGCATCACAGTCCAAGCGGGGGTGTGAAAGTTCCTGTCTAAGGACATGTTAACTTTGTTGTCCTGCATGCTGGCTCAGAGTTGTGTGTGTGTAGTTGTAGGAACTCCGTAGTTGTGCCTTGGAGGCTCGACGGGAGTGCTGCTTTAAGTGGGAAAGCCTTTTGAAGTGCTTGAGTTGTAGGGATGTGTGTCTGGAAGCTGTAGAAGTGACTGTGCACGTTTTTGCTTGCTTTAGGTGTAGTTGGGTAGGTCCCGAGAACTCCCACTGACGTTTGAGTTTGTTTTGTGGCTGTGGAGAACACGTGGCAGAGCAGAGTTTTCACCTGTGTGTAAAGAGTTTCACTGACGAAGCCTCCGGCTTATGACTTTGGCTCAAGTCGTGAGAAAAAGAGGGTTCAGCGCGCTGCTGCTGTGTTTTCACAAACTACCCCTGGAGGAGCAGGCGCTCGACAAAGCTTTCATCGCAGTCAAGTGCCCTGAAACAGGCGAGGTAGTGTTTTTCAGGCTTCTGTGCCTGCCTTTCGGTGGCACGGCAGCTGTACACTTCTTCATCAGAGTCTCCCTCGCCTTGTGCCACATAGGGAACGTCCTGTTTCGACTGCCTATGACCGCCTACTACGATGATTTCACTCTTTTCAGCAGCGAGGAGCTTCGTAACTCCACCTCGGCCACCGTCGACATCATGTTTTCCCTGTTAGGTTTCGATTTTGACCGAGACGGTGATAAGGCACAGGACCTGCATACGACTTTCCGAGCACTGGGGGTGCAATTTTCGTGCCTGGAGGACGAGGATCGGACTGTTCTTGTGTCAAATACAGAAGAAAGGCTTGAAGATGCAGTGGAAAAGCTTCAGGAGATCATCGAATCGGGTTCACTCACCCCCAAGTTGTGGGCGAAGATGCGCGGTCGTTTGGGTTTCATGAGCGGACAAATTGCCGGCAGACTTCCACGAGCACTGTTGAGGGCAGTGACCGTGGCCGTGTCAGCTGCAGGGACCAACTGCGGGGAAGTAGCCACGGCCCTACAGAGAGTGTTGGAGTTCTTGAAAGGTGCGCAACCAAGGCGGCTCAGACCGGCGCTACGAGACGTCATCTTTGTTTACACTGATGCATCGCAAGAGGGAGTAGACAACCTTGATATGGGGCTTGGTGCAGTGGTCCAGGACCACGAGGGAACCATCTTGGGGTGGTTTGGTCTGTTGCTCCCCCGTGACGTTGCTGAGGATATCTTGCGTGAAGGGAAGAAGTGCATCAATGAGTTAGAGAGTCTAACTGTAGCATTGACTGTTCGTCTCTGCGCGGCCATACTGCTACAGCGGCACGTGGTATTCTATCTCGATAACGAGGCAGCCAGAGTGACATTGCTTCGGATGCAAAGTGAGAATGCCATGCTTGACGCAGTGGCCAAAATCTCAGCTGTCCACGAATCCGAACTGTCCTGCATTCCATGGTATGCACGTGTGCCGTCGCGCAGCAACATAGCTGATGCGCCGAGTCGCTGTTGTTTCCTGGGTCTGCCCAACCCCTGCAGGATCAAGGACGATGTTACTGTGGAAGCATTGCGTGAGGTACTACGTCAGGCACGTCGCTTTGTTGCCCAGACTACTTGACCGAGGAAGGGATTTCTGTCTTCTTTTCTCCCCTTACCTAGGAGGGGTTTTTCGTGTTTTTGTACCCAGGAGACAGAAGACCTGCATAATGGACAGGTGGTCGATTCTGTACCCTTCCTCGGAAAAAGAGCTCGAATGGAGTGACTAAAGGAAATGAATATTCGAGAGGATGAAATACATTCATGGATGAATTTGGGAACAAAATAAGGGCTTCGTACTCTTGAGTACAAACCTTTATTTTGAGAGAAAATACTTCACCATGGAATGCGTGAGAAATTTTGGCTCAGTCCGAGAGGGCACTGAGAGTCAGATGAGCAAAATAAAAAGCCCCGCCCACCCACCCGGCAGTGAAGGTGTGATGCTGTTGCGGAAGGACAGCCCGTCCGGTGCCTGACTCTCCCATCCCGGACCTGCAGTGCAGTGGCCCAAGCTAGTGCAGCCTGAGTTGCAATGGACGCGCCCCCTAGGATCACGGCCCTGCAGCTGGGAGCCTTCGAGATTTGGGTTCGTACATTGAGTATGGACCAGATCATCATGCTGGCCGAGCGCATCGAGGACGTCTTGGCAGATAGAGAGATAGAGATCCGTGAGCGATTGCAGGCCAGGCGTAACCTGTTGAATGCTACGCTATCAACAGCTGCGAGCTCGTCTTCCACGCCGCAAGAAGCCCAGCCTAGTGAGCAACGTCCGAGTTCTTCGTCTCGTGACCAGTCTTGGGAATTCCTTGACCCACAGTAGTCACAACCCCTCCTGACGGTCAGGCCCGCTGACGACGACCATGAGTGTAAAAGATGGTCCGACACACTCATATGTGCTGCATTGTCCCTTGTCAGTGACAGCGAAACCTGCCTCAGCTCACCAAGTGCTCCACCTTCGGTCGGCTGCGGGCTCAAACTGCACGATGTTCTTCACCGCCCATGTTTGTGCTAGCTAACATAGGAGAGTCACCTGTTTGACTGTGAGTATGAAGAGGGATGCTGAAGCTGCAAACCTTGAGGAGGGCACGAACCGCGAATCCAGGGCCCAATGGTTGGCAGTGATGGTCACCAATGTTCCGGTTGTGGAAGTTGTGCTCTGTAGAGCGGCGGCTACAGGAACAGTCGACGACATCAAGTTTGCGATTGCTGATGACATATGGCATCGCACCGGGCATGATGTGAGAACTTCCAGTTTTCGTTTGGAGCTGCAGGGGCGACACGTGCCCTTTAGCACGAACCTCAGTGACTTACCTTTCACTCCGGGAGCTTGCTTGCACTTCGTTTTCCAACTCAGCCACTGACAGGACGAACACTTAGGCGGAACCTCTGAGCTTAGACGGTGCGAAAGTTTCACATACCCGACGGGGTTTTTCGTGTTTTTGTACCCAGGAGACAGAAGACCTGCATAATGGACAGGTGGTCGATTCTGTACCCTTCCTCGGAAAAAGAGCTCGAATGGAGTGACTAAAGGAAATGAATATTCGAGAGGATGAAATACATTCATGGATGAATTTGGGAACAAAATAATGACTTAGCAATCATCCAAACACAGCTTACTCGCAGTCAATAGAACCAGAAACTAGAGACCAGTGAATCAGAAAGCGTTTCTGCCAACGGGGCTCAATGAGCTCAGTTCTTCTTCACGTCAAGACGGCAGTAGCTTTTGGTTGCAGTCAACCTATCCGAAGGCATTCCTGGATTTGGCTCTCTTTCTGTGCCAAAGGCTCGTCGCTCCGTGTGACATTCTGAGAAACGGCTTGATGTCACAATGAGTAAGTCAATGTGACTCAAAATGCTCAAGACGGCAGGTCTTGCAACATAGGTGGAGTTGCAATGACTTTCCAGATCCAAGTTAAATACGGTGTCCAACACCGTACTGAAGATCTCAATGAAAGCAATCCAATCGCATTCATTCGTCTTCTTCCGGAAACAATGCAAAACATCCCATGAAGCAGTCACTAGCAGACTGCAACCAAAACCAATCACCGTTCGTGCAATTGAAATCTGCAGCATGAGAACAATGACAGACCCAAACTAATTTTGTAAAACCTCAATACTGTACGACGAGGTTCAAAAGAAGCAGCTGACCAATGAGCAACGCTGAGAGAATGCTGTCACTCAAGTAGGACCAACCAGGTTGCATCCAACGCAGTCCCGAAAGTTCCCACGCGCAGTTTTGCAACGGCGATCAATACGCTGCTTTAAATCAGGGTCAAGGAAGCAGTCTCAATTTTGCACTCCGAAAGAATGACCCTTCTCACAACTTGCAGAACCGAGCAATGCCACGTAGAGATAGCAATGCCGGATATATGGCTTCCTGAAACCAGTGTGTGTCAACCGCAAAGAAGATATCATCAATCAACTCGGCCTGAAATAAAATAGTAGATAAGAAAAGCGATCCATAGAACCATTCCATCATCCAAAGAACTCTCATGCACTGATACAGTCGCCAATAAAAGTCTGACTCCACGTAAAACTTGAATTCCAATCCTACAACTTTGGGTTGTGAGCCCAATCAAGCGTTCCACCAAGCTCGCGGCTACCAGCGACGCTACCAGCGATATTCGATCTCACTGTGGTCGAATGAATGCAATGACTTGGTTTGCACATAGAAAAACACGGAAATAAAGAATCACAAGCAATGAGTTCACAAGCGCTGACCAATACCACGAAGACAAAGCAACTGCGAATACTTCCAAGCATATGTCAATCCAGTCAAAGATCCATCGTCTCGCTTTCAATGACCAGAGTGGTCAATGCACAACGCTTGCAGAATAACCAATCACCACCAGTGTCCATATTAGCTCTTCGTGACCGTCATACAATCAGGCATCATTGGTGATGTCCTCTGCAATATACATAGGGGACCATCTGTCTGTCAAAGGGCAACGTCAAATCGTGAAATCACAATCGCATCGGCGAAGTGTGCGATGTAAGGATCAATGGCAGTCAACAATTGCCATGAAGAAACATCACGCGGAAGCAATATCCGCACAACGCGAAGATCAGAAGCAAGGAATATCAGACACCAATCCTTAGTGCATCCTTCTCAATCGAGCATGTTGCCACAGCATCTGGCGCTTTTTGGGCAACACTACAGGCAATCTCGCCAGTCTTCTTCTCGTAAAGCAATGCTCTAAACCAAAAGGCGTTTGACAACAGGCTACCTCTCGCTGAAAAAGCAGCAAAGCAATCAGCTGTAGGAAATGATACTGCAATCCTGCAACGATGCAGTGAACCAGACACAAGCTCAATCCATACCTGTCAACAGCTTCTCGAGGTCAATAAGCTGTTGTCAGCCAAGCACTGGGCAATGAACTCCAGAGGATGAGCGCGTCGCCAGAAAACCATAATGCCACTGACATGCTATATAAGGAGAGATGCGTACGCCACTTCGTCACAATCGGCACCATGCAGAAAATAGCACCACTCGTTCGCGCAACTGTTCACCAAACTCACACGCTAACTGCAATGTAGTATACACCGCCAAAGTAAAGGAACAATGCTTCATCTTGTGATCAGTCTGCAGAACACAAACCAATCTGCTGCGGTCTTGAAAGAAGGAACTTGAATCGCGCACTCAATGTGCAAGCAGCGCAGGTAGTGACGATGAGCTGCTGCACAATGAAACTCTGAGTATCTGTGTTGGACAACACAAACTCAATCCGAAGACTTGCCAATGCCTCGCACTGCACAATGCAAACGCCATCTTCGTGCATCTCGAATGGTCTTGTTATGGCAATCCGAAGAACCAAAAGCAATCACTGGCTCTGAAGGAAACAAATCATCATTCATGTACTCAATACAAACTATGAAGTCAAAGTCTGCAATAATACTCTTCTGCCATCTGCACAGTCAACCAATCCGAGTGGACATGCAGTTCGTGGAATCATCAAAGTGTGTCTCCAATTGTTGAAGCTATACAAGAATACAACCAGTCTGAACAAACGAAGTCCTGGGACAATGCTCAAGGCAATCCCGCGGAAACCATCTCCAGCAGACTGAACAGCAACCATTTGTCCTTACCACTTGTACTCGTCGCAAAGAAAACGCACAATCGCAGTACTGGAGAAAACCATGGCTACAATCAGGGATCAGGGCGTAGGACGAATCAGCAATCGCATCTGCCAGTTTCAAGAAAGAAAACAACAACACTAGGTCAAGGCCAATCAGAATGGTCGCTTCTTCTATGTACAAGAAGAGGTATGCACAATTCTGCTCCTGACGGAACAATGGAGGAAAATCACCTGCCAATGTTTCCTTAGGTCTGGCTCCTATATACAATTGCTCCTCGGCAATAGGAAACAACTTCGGGCAATTCACCCTTTGGTCGGTTCCTAAAGTTGCTCAGCGCAATTATTCAAAACAGGTTCTTCAAAGCCAACACTAGACCACAACGCTCTCGCGAACTTTCTTAGAAGTCCAATCCTAACGAGCAACATGACCGAAAGCTAAATGCAGCACAGATAGGGTCCAGGCAATGAGCAACTGTAACTAAGGCCTGGACGGCGGACAACAACAAGCGAGCAACGCGCATCAGTGATATCAACAAATTTGGCACCGAATTTTCACGCAAAGAAGCGCAGTCGGCTCTTCACGATATCAATCTCTAAGATGCAAAGAAAGCAAACCACACACGACAGCTCGACCAACGAAGTACAAATTTAGCGCAAATCAGCCACTCAATCAACGCATAAATCAGATTAACAATTCAAGCCTTCAAGCAATACCTGGAGCCAATGCCGACTCCTAGAGTCAATACTGACTCCTTCCTCCTCTCCGTCCCTCGGCTAAGGCTTCAGCCGCAAGCCGAACAACAAAAGGGATGGGAGAGCGGGAGAACGAGAGGACCAATCAACACGGACGACTCAGCAACACAAAAGGAAAGCACGCAAGCCAAACGCATCAACCAAGGACGCCAAATGCACCAACTCAGGCAAAACAGGAGCTCGTCAGGGCCAATCGCCATCAGTAAGAGGCGTCACCTCTCTCATAGCTGGCAATGTGCAATAAGCAACCAAGGAAAACCAATTCACTCCAACACGGCATAATGTAGACAAGACAACCGACCAAGCAAACGGGTCAAGGCAAAACCAACTGGTGTAGCAATTACACGTTGCTGTTGGCAAAGGTGCAGCACAGAAGCCATCACTTCAATCTGCAGCA